TGAGAAGGAGAGTGAATGAACTGACTGGATTTGGGATTTATTGAACCTTGGGGTCTGGAACAGCAAGCTGAAATTCTACAGAAAAAATATGCAGCAGCGCTTGGGTTTTTGTGGGGATTTTGGGCTTAACCACTGCACAAGCACAGGATGTGGGAAGCAAACCTTACAGCACATAGAAAAAGCACAGAGGTTTTAGTTGATGGTGAACTCAACCTGGTCACTGGGGCTTCTTGAAAGGCTCCTGCAGTCTAGCTGCATCAGTAAGGGGCACTGTCAAGATCGAGGTTGGTGATAATATTGCTCTCCCCCCTGAAGGTGGTCAGGTCACATCCTCAGTCTGTGTTCACTCTTTTGTGGGCGTGTAAAGAAATTGGGGCATGTCGGGAGGAAACTGATCAGAATGATGAAGGAGGAGAAAATCCTGTCCTACACGAAACTACCGAAGGAGCTTGGGATATCCATGTTTATTTCTTTATTTACTTGTTTTTCTACATACCATTTTTCTGTTCCCTTATGTGCAAGGCAGGGTCTTCAGGGACAGGACATAATAACTACAACATGATGTGGGTTTCAGCAGTAGTCTCTGAAATTGGTATGAAGTTGCCCAACTATCTAAAAGAGGTTTGGGAAGGATTTCCTACAAAGGTGGGTTCTGAGTCGAGTCTTGATGGACAAATAGGAGTCTGATAAGTAAAAAAGGGAAGAAAGAGTTTTCCAGTCAGAAAGACCGCATGACCTCAAATCACTAGGCAATAAGCTACAAGCAGGTCACGTGTCCTTTTCGTAATTTTCACTGTATTCCCCAGTAAGCTGCCTGATGCATTACACTTTTGGCCATTCCCTTGGGATAAATGAAATTACATGCCTCCCTGGAGACGGTGCCCAAATTAAGATACTGTGACACACATTGCATGCAGTTGGAGTGGTGGGGAGACCTGAGGCTGAATGGTAGGAATGGCATAGTGCATAGGGCTATGCGTGTGTTAAGGAGTTTGGACCTTATCCCGGAAGGGAGACAAAATATTGAAGCTTTCTAAGTTAGGAAGTCACATGGTCAGATTTTAAGTTTTGAAATATGTCACTGGCAGCAACTGGAAGACGGTAGTCAGAGGACAGAAACCAGCTAGAAGATCATTGCAAGAGGCCAGATGGGGCATGGCAGTGGAAGTTTGTGGGCGGTGGATTTAGGACAGACTCAGAAAATGAACTGGATAGGATCTGGGAGCGGTTATAGGCACTTGGTGAATAGCTGGGCTTCTAGTGTGGGCTGCTAGGTAATTAGTGGGGTCAGGAGTGAGAGGAGGATAAGGAAAGAGTGCTATCCTGGCTTCATCAGAGATTCATGAAGGACACCAGTTGAGGAGACCAGGTGCTGCCGAGTGCTCAACTGAGATGAAGACAGACACACCTTTGTGTTTGGCAGTAGGATGTGATAAGGTCTGCCGGAACTGTTTCAGGGCTGGTAAGAGGCAGGAGGTCAGATTGCAGGGGATGGCATGGATGCCAGAAGGCGCAGAGGGGATGTGTTCATTGTTGTTAAATATTTGATTTATTTTCTTTGGCTGACAATTTGGATAAGTCTCTTGAGTGTAATAGAAACCCCTACTCAAATTGGGAATTTATGGGCTCAGATAACTAAAAAAGTCCCAAGGAATCAAGCAAGACTTGATCTAAGGACTTCAATGATATCATCAAGACCTCATGCCTTTTTGACCCTCAGATCTCACCTCTTTGTTAGCTCTATTCTCTAGCTCAATAAGCGACGAACAAGAGTGCCTGACACTCCCAAGTTTATGTCATTCCAGATTAAAGTTCAGCAGATCCAAGATCTTGACTCTTTCTTGTAAATACAGGATTCTTAATTGGACCTGTGTGGATCTTGTGCCCAAACTGGAATCAGTAGTTGCTGAGAGGGTAGTGAGTTGCAATGACTCTGATGGCCAGCTACAGGAAATTTTCAATTCCAGGCAGTTGTCCTGACTGGGGGGAATGCAGTGCTCTGATTGGTTGGGCCATGTGTCCACTCTGGAGCTGGGGTAAAATCCCAGATGAAACATTTGGACTATGTGTGAGGGAGGGGTCATTCTCAAATGAAGCTCAAGTGCTGTGCTGTTCCCAGAAGACAGAATGGAAGGTTTTAGCTAGAGAAACAGTGTATACTAGAGCTGTAGAGGACAAAACTAGGGCCAATGAGTGGAAATTATTGGTCTTACTGCATTTTTGCTGGTAGAGAAAGATCTCTGACTAAAGTACAGGAATGAAATAGGCCAAGTGTTGAGGTAGTGAGTTGGCTATCACTGGTGGTATCAAAGCAATATTAATAAATGACAACAGCTCATCAGCAAGGTATAGATGGGACAGATAACCTCTGAAGTCACATTTTAAAAATTGTTTCTCTGTAACACAGTAGAAATATGTCTTTATACTACAGCTCAGTGTACCCTTATATGTATATACAAAACTGTGAACAAAAGTTTCATGAAATAGTGTTTTTCCTTACTATCTGTGGCATGCTCATATTTTCTGTTCTGTTATATTCTACTTAAAACTTACTGTTGAGTGCAAACCACTAAATTGCCTTCATGTTCCTCTAATGAATCTTAATCTGTAGTGTGTAAACTCTGTTCTAAGCTCTGATGTCTTAACACGTCTGCCCTAGCTGGACAAGACTTGAAGATGGTTTTTCCACCATGATGGCGGCATGGGTCAAAAATGAGAAAGCAAACCTGTTTTACTTGTGAGAGCTTCAGATTCTAAGTTTGGAGTCTCTGGCTGTCTGTCAGAGCTGCTCCTGATGTCTCCAGGGTGGAGTGACCTTCTCTGTGGGCCCTCAGGGCAATGTTGGAGGGAATTTACAAGCTGGCCATGGGCTGCAGGGTGGCGGAGGCAGCCCAGCAGTCTGTCTGTCGGGAGGCTGGGGTAGCTGCTCCCATGCCAGTGGTGGTTTATGTTGTGAGGTCGAGTGTATGTGTATATGTGTTTTCTGTCAGATCTTTATATTGAAGATGAGGGAGTGGCTCTTAAAAATAACATATTTTTGACTTGAAGCAAGTCAAGGCAAAGATTGGAGACAATTAGAGACTGACATCCTGTTTAGTCATCTCTCTCGAGAGCTCTATTTTCAGAACTGTTCTATAAAGGTTCACAAGTGATATTAAGATAGTTAAGGGGATATTGTTAAGTTAGCAGTAGTCATGATGCAAGTAACTGATTTGAACACAGAGGTGACTTACAGTGTGGTAACTCTAGGTTTTATGCAAAGAAAGAGAGGGTTGTAAGAATAGACTGTTACAAAGGTAAAGCTTTCTGAGTCTGTACACAACAGGTATCTTTATTTTGAGAAAGTATATAATCAGGATGTGGTGATGACCTAAGGCCAATGCATTTGGGCAGAGGGGCTTTGTTCACCTGTAGGTATAATAAAAAAAAATAGTACTATTAATATTCTTGGCTGAATGTTGTAGCTCATGCCTATAATCCAAGCACTCTGGAATTCTAAGGCAGGAGGATTGCTTGAGCTCAGCAGTTTAATACCAGCCTGGGGAACATAGTGAGAACTCGTCTCTACAAAAAAAGCAAAAAAATGGCTGTGTGTGTTGGTGTATGCCTATAGTCCCAGTTGCTTGGGAGACTGAGGTGAAAGGATTGCCTGAGCCCAGGAAGTTGAGGTTGCCGTGAGCTGTGATGGTGCCACTGCATTCTAGACTGGGCGACAGAATGAGACTCTAACTAAAAAAAAAAAAAAATTCAAAACCATGTGATGGTGGCTGTGTTTGAATTGCTAAATAGTGGTGCCATAGGCTTTCAGATGACAGCATTGAGGCTTGGGGTGGTGAAGTACCTTGCCCACAGTCCAAAGCCAGCTGTAGCAGAATCAGACTGGAGTCCATGGCCTGGTCTAGTAGGGGGCTTTTCCACTGCATTGTGTGATTTGTAGTTTATTTAAATGTAACATTCTACCAAAAATGACCTACCGAAAATGACCATATCTATACTCAAGCTTTCCTATCTACAGGTCAAGTACTATTGACTTTTTTCTTTTAGATGCAAGGTCAAAAGCAGAAATGGAGCCATGGACTGAGTCTGACAAGATTTAGTTCAAGACAATTATAAATTCATGTATTTGAATCCATGAGAACCTCACAATGCAAAACTCAGAGGTGCTTGTGGATAGTAATGTTAGTACCCAGGAGGAAGAGGGAAGAGTCTGCCCGTCTGAGCTAGTGGAAATCAGAGTTGATCTGGAGGGTCGTTCTATCCTGGGCTCCTTGCTACATGGAGTCTTTAGGAGCCTGGAGTGTTCAGAGGTTGGGATCCCATGAGAAGACTTCAAACTGCCTCTCTGTAGAATGTGTCTTGCTATCTCAGCTGACAGGTAACTTTAAGGGTGTCCATACTCCTGTGAAGAGTCAAGAGTAGTGAGTGCGAAGCTCCTACACTTTCTCCCCAAGTACTTCCTTAAGAATGACTAGACTTTTGGAGAAAATGTGTAGACAGAGACTCTTGATACTTTTTACTCCATAAAACTAAAGATGTGCAAATGACCGTGCCACTTGTTCATTCATGTATGTTGCTATTATTGCTCTATTTAATATTCATGCTATGGTGCTTTAATAAAATGTTGCTCTATATACGGTGGTTTTATAAGATATTGCTCTTATAAGCAGTATGCATAAGATATGGATGTCTCAGAAACATTTAGTGAGTATGTCAGTGCTTCTCTATATCCCTGAAGAGCCAAAACTGGATGACAATAAAAGTCAAGAGGAAGGAAACTCTGAAAAAAATTTTTTTAGATTTGCTTTTCAGTCTTTGTAATCTCTTGAGCTTTCACTTGTCTCCCTGGTTCTTCACTATTTAATGAAAGACTTAGATTTGACTTGTGGCTGGGATTTACTCATTTAGGCCTCTCTATGATGAATTATTTAAGGCTCACAAAAAATACTTTTGTTAAATACTATATGTTAAAATATAACATACTATTTTTTTTCTCTTTCTAGGTGGATCTGGAGCCAGAGGGCAAAGTATTTGTGGTAATAACCCTAACAGGGAGTTTCACTGAAGGTAAGAATAAGTTTGCGTGGCTTCTGGTTTATGCGTAATCTTAGTTTATACTTAGTAGGAATTTCTATCATGGAAATTTCAAAAAGAGCATTTTGTGAAAAATGCTTTCAGATATCACTGTCTTCCATTGGGCTGACTGGTACCTTGCTGCCCAGTGGCCTATTGGATCAGGCTGCCAGATGAAATGTATTTGCAAAACCTGGCACTCTCATGCTTTGTTTAACATTCTCACTGAGTTTTTGTTTTTATTCATTCATCACCATCTTTGCTGAATTGGTTTTTGCAATTTTGGGGTCATACCTGTTAGACCATACTTTAGATTTTTGGTTTTGTGCCAGCCTTTTAGTTTGCCCCTGGATGTCTGTGAAAGAAATTTAAGGATCATGTTCTCTTTATAATCCCTGTCTCTTTCTTGACCCATGAGGGATTCTGTTCCTCATTCTCTGCTGCCACACTCCCTCCCACCACTACCTCAATAATTGTTTTTTTAAAGTTGAGGTAAAATTTATATGTGGTTAGTTGAAAGATCAGAAGTGAACAATTTGAATTCTGACAAATGCATACAACTGTGTAACTGGCATCCCAGCCCAAGACACAGAACATTTCCATTACTCTGAAAGTTTCCTAGTGCCAAAGACAGTAAGCATAGTGCTTCCTTTCACCACAGATTAGTTTTGCCTACTCTAGAAGTTCATATAACTTGAATTATATAGTGTGTTCTCTTTTGTGTCTGGTTTCTTTCACTCAGCATACTTTCTGTAAGAACTATTAGTGTTGGTGTGTGTATCAATATTTTATTCATTTTGATTTCTGAGTAGTATTTTGTTTTACAAATGTAGCTCCCATTTGTTTACCCATTCTCCTCTTGATGGACTTTTGGGGTTTTTCCTATCATCTATTATGAATAATGTTTCTATAAACGTTCTTATACATACACTTTGTGGACATTACACTTTAATTTTTCATGAGTAATTACATACAAGTGGAATTGCTGGATAGTAGAGTTGGTGCACGTTTGTAAGACACTCCCAAATGGTTTTCCAAAGTGGTTTTTATTATTATACTCCTACCAGCAATGTATGAGCATTCCAATTACTCCATATTTTCTCACCAATGCTTGGCATGACCATTCTTTTTAATTTTAAGTATTTTAGTGGGTATGAAATTGTATCCTGCGGTTTTAATTTTCATTTCTGTGACGTTAAGTACTTTTTCATATGCTTATTGGCCATTTGCTTTTGCTTTTGTTTTATAATTTCTGTTCCAGTCCTTTGCTCTGTTTTTAAAAATTGAATTTGTCTTTTTATTGTTAATTTATAGGAGTTCTTTATGTTTTCTGGATATGAGTCCTTTGTGAGAAAATGTATCTTGAGCGCTTTCTCCCAGTCTGTGGCTTGTCTTTTCATTTTCTTAATGGTGGCTTTGTGAAGTCTAAAATTTCTATGAAGTCCAGTTTATCAATCTCTTCTTTCATCGTTTGTACATTTGGTGTCCTCTCTAAGAACTCTGTCTATCATAGGGCCACAAAGATATTCTTTAGATATGGTTTTAGCTTTTATGTCTAGATCTATATACCTTCTTAAGTTGAAAATCAATTGCCCACATAATGTGGGCCTATTTCTGGATGATCTGCTCTGTTCTGTTGATCTGTTTGTCCATCCTTATGCCAGTACCATACTGTCTGCATGGCTGTTGCTTTACAGTGAGTCTTGCAGTTAGGTAGTGTGAGCCCTCCAACTGCATTCTTGTTTGTTTGTTTAAAGTTATTTGAGCTTTTCTCACTATTTTGCATTTGAATTGAAATTATGTTGAATCTATAGATCAGTTAGAGGAAAATTGAGACCTTAACAATTGTGAACATCTTCAAATCCATAAATATGCTATATCTCACCACTTATTAATGGTCTTTAATATTGTTCATCATATTATCAGTGTAATATAACTCTCAATATTATATATAAATTCTGTATTAATCTGTATTATGTATGACATTAATATTAATATATAATTATGTTAATTTATATTACACATAAGTTTCAATAGAGATCTTACACTTTAAAAAATGTATTTCTAAATGTTTTAGGCTTCTTCATGTTGTTATAAATGGTATTTGAAATATTCATTTTGAAGTTGTTTATTGCCACCATACATGAAATGGGTTTTTGTATATTGACTTTGTATTCTGTGACCTTACTAAATTCACGTGTTATTTCTAGTAGGGTTTGTGTGTGTGTGTGTGTGTGTGTGTGTGTGTGTGTGTGTGTGTGTGTAGATACCATAAGATTTTCTTTTGTCTATGAATAGTTTTTCTTTCCTAATACTTATGACTTTTATGTCCTTTGCCTCCCTATTGTACCTTGACACCTCCAGGACAGACACCCTTATCTCTTACCCAATCTTAAGAAGAAGGAATTTAGTCTTTCCCCATTAGGTATGTTGTGTTAGCTGTATGTATTTTTTAGATTCACTTTATCACAATGGAAGAAGTTCCTTTTTGGTCCTACTTTTCTGGGTTTTTTAAAAAAAATTAAGAGTGTTACATTTTAGCAGATGTTTTTTCTTTATCTACTGAGATGATCATATGGTTTTTCTCCTTTATTCTTCTTTATTTTCTAGCAAGTAATTGAATTGCTGGCTGATAACATTAAAATTGTGAAGGCTTTTAAGGATGGGACTATTTCACTTTTTCCTCTTAGTTTTAGGGAAAATTCCATTCCATTCCAGTCCTATTTTATGAGGCATGGCCAATACGAGACTTCAATCCCAAGGTGTTTTAAGTCCTTGAAATTTGTGGCACTGCGGCTTCCAGCTCTTTCTTCTGCAGTGGGAAACTGCAGAAATGGCTCATGTCTTTCAGGGTCTAGCTTTTGCTCTTTTCTGGACCCCATGGAGACTCCCTTGTGGCATGCACAGGGAAGACTCCATAGGAGGAAGCAAGGATTTGAGGAGTTTATATATTTGAAGTCTCTTCTGCTGTGGCCCCATTCCTTCCAGGATTTCTGTCCTCAGTAGCCAGTCATATGGTAGTCTTGAATTTTGTCACTTCACTCCTCAGGCCAATAAAACTGTGGCTTCCTTCTTGAGTTCTATTCACCCAACCACTCACAGCCTGGGGAATATACTGGAGAAAAGCCCTTTAAATGTGGACCTCACCCGTTGCGGCTTCTTTCTCACAAGTGTCACAGTTCCTCTAGTCTGTGCCTGTTTTTGATTGTTTTCTCTCATCTTCAGCTAGTTGTTTTTAAATATATTTTCTAAATATTTTAATTGTTTTGTGAAGGATTGATCTGTTACAGACTCTTTCACCATTGCTAAAATCCCATGAAGATTTTTTTTTTTTTTTTGAGTTGGAGTCTCACTCGGTCGCCCAGACGGGAGTGCAGTGGCCGCTTTCAGCCCCCGCAGCCTCGACCTGCTGGGCTCCGGCGATCCTTCCGCCTCAGCCTTCCGAGTAGCCGGAATTACAGGCGCGCGCTACCTTTTTTGATTTATTGTAGAGACGAGGTCTCGCTGCCCAGGCGGGTCTCGAACCCGCGGGCTCAGGCAATCCACTCACCTCAGCCTCCCAAAGGCATGGGATTACAGGCTGAGCCACCGAGCCCGGCTTACCCGTGAAGATTTTTAAACATGTGGCTTAATGGTTTGTATGTTTGATGTTGGCATTTTGCAAATTGATTATACTTTCTTTTTTTAAATTTATAATATATTTAAGATGTGGCACAATTCAGGATTAGGGACACAAGTGGTCTTTATACAGATAAGGTTTGGTTCTACCTTTGGTCCCCACTTTGACTCGTTTGAGATCAGCTACCCTTATTAACGTTATATGCTCCCCTGCACCCTGGCAGTTTCCGGCTATTGTCAATCTCTTTTTTATAGTATTATGGTAAATGTTCAGGGACTTTTTATGAGTGAGACTATATGGTACTCAATTCTTTGTTTCTGTGATAAATCACCAAGTAGTATAGACTCTAAATAGTTTTCTCTACTCCTCTTAGCCAACCATTCCCATTTATGTGGGCAAATTGATTTTTTAAAATTTAAAATTTTCATTTTTGTAGAGACAGGGTATCACTATGTTGCCCAGGCTGGTCTCAAACTCCTTGCCTGAAGAGATCCCCTGCCTTGGGCTCCCAATGTGTTGGAATTACAGGTATCAGCCACCATACCTGGCCTGAATTGTTTTAATGTTAACATTTTTCAATACATTGTCTCAATTAAACCTTGCCATCTTTTTCCATATTGAAATTAGCAGAAACCTGGGGTATTTGGACCTAGAAAAATACTGTTGAGTTTACAGTTTGAGTCTTCTCCCTACTACCAGGTCTTTTTTGTTTTGCTTGGCATCTTGGACATATAGGATGTGTGTGCAAAGTGAGTATGCACCTAGCCTAGTCGAATACAATGAAAGTGGGATTTTAGAACAATGTTGTTAGAACATTTTCATAATGAATACGGAACGTAGTAGAAAGAAACACAACAGTGAGAAAAGAGGCCAGGATGAGGAGTAGGTGAGATTTGAAAGTGCTGAATGTCTTTTCTGCATAAAGTTATCAATGAAGTAAGGCCATGTGTGTTACACCAGCTCTGATTGTGCCACAATCATTACATGACTTCTCTTTATAGAGCTGTGCCAGCTCTCTGGGACTAAGTGCTGTTAAGATTGTATCTTCCTTAATTGTATTTTTTTTTTTTTGAGTCGGGGTCTCACTTTGTCACCAAGTCTGGAGTGCAGTGGCATGATCACAGCTCACTGCAGGTTTGGCCTTCTGGGCTCAGGAGATACTTCTGCCTCAGCCTCTCAAATAGCTGGGCTACCGATTTATATCACCACACCTGGCTAATTTTTAAAATATATGTTTTTGCAGAGACAAGGTCTTGCTATGTTGCCCAGGCTGGTCTCAAACTCCTGGGCTCAAGCAATACTCTTGCCTTGGCCTCCCAACGTGCTAGGATTACAGGTGTGAGCCACTGTGTCTGGCCTGTATTTAGAATCATCA